AGGTCGGCAGTCTTACCCATGATTGCGGTTTTGAGTAATGAACAAGGCTGGGAGTTTTTAAAAGCCTCAGGAATCTTTTGCAGGTGTTTAGAGTTATGTCGTTGATTCAGATGGTTAGGTTAATAGCTTGTTTAGAGAACCTTTTCATGATATGCTAATTTTTTGGGACAGGCATTTTGGGTTTTCATGAGCTGTATGCCATAATCATCAGTATTAAAACAATTAAAGACCTGAAATATTTCAGTTGGTGTGCAATGAATCTGAAATATATGAAAGTTTCATTTTTATCATTACATTATGGAAAATAATGACCTTTATCACAATATGCTAATTTTTTGAGAAGGACTTGTTTATGAATTGTTGTGCAAGGTTTAAACTAGACCTAATTTTATTATTCTTTCTTTCTAAAATCTTCCTATTTGCGATATAAAGAAATGAGTAATAACTTGAGATGTTCACACCTTTCTATAGTTTGAAAGAAACATTAAGCTAAAAAAGTAATTGTTTCCTATATAAAATGCAAACATTTGCCATATGTCATATGCTGTGTGAGCGACAAGTTACTCTAACCCCAAAACTTTTAAAAATTTAATTTTATTTAATTTTATCACAAGCTATTTGCACAAGAACGCCCCTCTTGAAAAATCTTTGAACCGTTAAGACCATAAAATCACAAAAAAATCAACTTTTTTGTGTCATTTGATCTGTACATATACAGTAATGTTTGTTGGTTATCATAAATGTTCCAAAATCCATAAATAAACCTAAACACGAATCTGGAAAAGTTTGGAAATTAAAAGTGAGAAAGGTGTTGAACATCTGTGTTTACAACGCTGGATATAAAATGTGGAAACTTGTTCTTGCTGGAAAAAAGAGCATGAGACAGAGCAACGGGACCAAAGAGAAGAGAAATCTTTAAACTAAAGTACAATAAAACAACAGAAGGCATGACCATGAATGAAGCAACTGCCTGGATGCAGAGAGCAGTTTCCAGTGATAAAAAGCACAGATGAAACCACCTGTTCTCTACACAAACAGGTGAGCAACACGGATGACTCGTGTTGTTTGAGAGGTCTTTGGACTCACTAAGTGCTGCAGATTATCAGGCCGGTCTCGTCTCCTGCGGGTGGACCTGTGGACAGGAGAGTCGTTTAAAGTTACGAGCTTGCAGACTGCCGTCGGAGACAAGGCCAGAGCATCTGCTTTATTTATCATCCGGGAGTGACCGTTAACTGATGACGGCTGTAAAAGGTAAAGGCTGTTGGAGGAGCACATAAAGTGAAGAAAACAGACCATTTTCCACTCGGGATGACTCGAGTACCTCGAAGTGGCTCTCGTTCTTCTCCGAGTGCAGCTGGGCTTTTTCTCACTCACTTTAGAAACTGAGAGTATTCATCATCTTTTCTCCTCACGCTAGCACTATCTATTTTATTTTTTACGTTGTGCTGTATTGCTCTGTCAGCATCGGCTCACTCACAGGTCTGCAGAACGTAAGGATGGGAGGCTTCATGTGAAAACCACATGTCTAAATTGACGCCGAGCCTTCAGACCTAATTATTTGCTCATGTGCGAAAACTGCAATTTACAGCAGCACGAGCTCCTGCTCCCCGCTGCTTAAACCTTGCTCAATAAAAACAGTAGTTTGAATAAAAGAAGCCCCAATTAGTGCCTGCTGACTGTGCACTAGTGTTCCAATCAGCTCACTAGCAGTGGGATAATTAGCACTTGGCCAGAGTGGCCTCTTTTCCTGCCGTTTTCTCACTGGCAGCCATGCTTAACTGGAGATCTGAGACATGATATGCTCCTTGCTACCAGCAGTCGCCCACAGATTTCACTCATATTCCTCATTAACCCTCCCCTGATGCTTTTAGCTCCTCAGCTAATCCAGACTTCAGATTAAGGTTGAAGTGCTAATAATCTACGCTTGCTGACTGGAGGAAATTCAACAGCTGACAGGAGTTTTTAACAGATTGAAACAACTTAATTTAATCAGTTAAATTATCTTTATTTTCTAGACTAATGGTTTGGTTTGTTTCTACTGACTTTGTGTTCTTTGTCTGAATTTGACTAAATTAAAACTACACAAGTGCCAGAAGAGGAATTACAAGGTGGTTCGGTTTCTCAAATGACGCTGACTTTGATAAAATAAATAAAACTACAGTGGGTTATAAAAGTATTTGCCTCATTTGCCATCGTTGTGTTTTGTTGCCTTACGAGTAAAAAGGACCTAAAGAGGAACATAAAAGGAATTCTGAATAATTTGCATAATTAATTTATGCATCATAACTATCCATCCATTATCTTTACTCGCTTCTTCTAACCTTCTTCAGAGGTTCTACAGTGTTGAACCTCTGCTCCACTTTCAAATCTCTGGAAGACTCAAAGTCCTTTACCTGAAGCATTTGTGTATATTTTGCTCCATCCATCTTGTCTTTAACTCTGACCAGTTTCCCTGCTGATGGAAAACATCCCACAGTGTGATGCTGCCACCACTGTGCTTCGGTTTTCGGGTGGAGTTCTAAGCATAATGACAGGAGTTTGCTTTGTGTCAGACTTGGTGTTGTCTTTAAGGGGCAAACGGTTGAATTTCATGTTCATCTGACCACAGCAGCTTCCTCTACATGTTTGGAGAGCTTCCAGTATGCATTTAGGCAATGTATAAACAGTTCAGCGTTTGTTGTATTTAGTTTTTTGTTTGTTTTTGTTTATCTCAGCCCTGTGATCTTAGATATAGACAGTCAAAATGAGTTGGACTTTTCCTTAGAGATAGGGTGAGAAGGTCATTTATTCCAGTGAGACTCTGAGTAGAGCCTTTGCTCCTCCACACTGAGGAGAGGAGCCATCTGATGTGACTTGGGCACCCCCACCCCCAGTGTTTCAGGCATGTTCAACTGGGAGGAGACTCCGGGAAAGACCCAGGACACACCGGAGAGACTAATGACATGTGAATGTCTTGGAATCCTGGAAAAGCTGGAAGAGGTGTCTGTGGAAAGAGATGTCTGGGCCTCCCTGCTCAAGCTGTTCCATGACCTGACTCTGGCACAAGCAAAGGATGGGTGGATGGATGGATGGGTGGATTGGATGGACGGATGAGTGGGTGGGTGGGTGATAGTGTGGATAGGCTAGATGGCTGGCTGAATGGATGGATGGGTGAATAGAGTGGATAGGATGGATGGATAGCATAGATGGATAGATGAATGGGTGGGTGGATAGTGGGATGGATGGATGGATGGGTGGATAGTGGGATGGATGGATGGATGACTGAATGAATGGGTGGGTGATAGTGTGGGTAGAATGGATGGATGGATGAATGAATGAATGAATGAATGGGTGGGTGCGTCGGTGGGTGGGTGCGTGGGTGGGTGTATAGTGTAGATAGGATGGATGGATGGATGAGTGGGTGGGCCTGTCTGTCTGGAAGTAAGTGTTAAAGCTTCAAAGCAAAGGGAATAAATGCAGACTGTATCTACACCACTTTATTTTTTTTGTTTTTGTTTGTTTTACACTGTTAGAATTAAAACAAGTATATTTTCCCCTTTAAGTGAATTATTCTGGAGTATTTGTCTCTGTATCAACATCTGTTCTTCTATTAGTACAACACCAGGTTACTATGCGTCGCCTTTGATCCTTGTTCTGTCCACCATGCTCATTTCATCCTGAAGCTCTCTCCAGTGAAATGATATAGATGTGTTTTTGTGTTGGTGTAAATGAATGTGGTGCTGTCTTCCCACTTCCACTCCTTCCTGCAGCAACAGATGATGTGTCATGAGGTTTTCACAACAGTAGCCGACCACGGAGGCTGCGTCAGAATCCATGAATTTATGGTTACATTTTCCAATAAGATTGCCTCTGAATTTATGCAGTATGTTCCTGTCACAGTGAGACATCATTTCCAGCAAGATCATTAATCATCTCATGTGTTTGACAGGTGAAGCCTCAGCATGTCTGTCTCTGTGTGTGTGTGTGTGTGTGTGTGTGTGTGTGTGTGTGTGTGTGTGT